ATTGTAGTAAAATTTTAAGTATTATAAATATAAATTACAAATACATTTAATGTATCAACTAACTAACTAATTTAAGCATTTTTTTATGTGTTTGAAAGTTATGAAAACATTTTAAAAATTTAAAAAATCATGATTAAAGATTTACACCGTAATCACATTTATCGCGAAAACCAAAGCATCAGTCGTTTTTAGTGCGTCTTTTTGTGCGTTGTTAATATTGCGAATCAAAATTAACATTAATTTGTTCTAAATAATCATGCAAATGAGGTCACAGCGCGAAAAGCCTATTTTGCCAAAACTCTTAGGACTCTTTAAATTTAAAAACCGTGCGTGACAAAACTGATTAAGTATTTTCATTTCTTAAAAGTAAAATTAATTGTTATCTCCTTACCTTATGATTTAGTCATTATTTTGTGTTTCAAAAAATGGTCAGATTTTAAAGATGTAATCAAATACAATTGATTGCTTTTTATATTGTAAATAAAACACACACACATTTTTGCTTTGTATATTTTTACATTTAAAAAGTTTTGCCTGTTTTGATTCAAAAAATATACTTTTATTAAATTCATAACGTGTAAAACTAACTTTTAAATATAACTCTAATAAGAAAATGAGGTTTAAGTCAATCAGTGCAGCGCAACTCCATAGCTTAAAGCATTGACTACTCCACTTATAACTAAAACAAAAAAGAACGAACCATATGAAGTGCAAATTATTTTAGTTTGGGTATGGAAGCGACTACATTAACTACAAAATTCTGACCCTGGCGTACAGCTGCATAGATGGCTCAGCACCGAAATATCTCAAATAACTGATTTATAAACATGTACCTCTGAAGAGCCTACAGTCTTCAACACAGTACTTACTGAGTTTTTTTTAGAGTGAACCCATAAAAAAGTCTTACGGAGTGCGCTCTTTTGAAGAGATAGTGCCAAAATTATGGAACAGTTTGCCTTAATCTTTAAGGGGAATTGAAAATGATAAAAAATCATTTTAAAAAAAATTAAAAACTTTTTTGTTTAAAAAGATTTCGGAGGACCAGAGCGCAGTGAGCATGCTAAAGCGGCATGGATACCGGCACGATTTAAATATCAAATCTAATCAAACAATCCCGTAGAGGATTTTTCTAAATTTATTTAAATCTGGGTGGGGGAGGGGTTGGTTACTTTGGCCCTGGCAGCACAAGATACGTCTAAAAATAAAGAAATTAATTTGATAAATAATTAACCTTCTTGGAAATATACATTTCGGAGGTAGGAAATAGGATGTGTACATTTTCGCGTGGATGACAATAAATTTAAATCCTATGGTATTAAATTTGGGAAAATAAGAGATGTGCAGGTTAATTTTGCTCAAGGCAGCGCAACATACTTCTCAAAATAAAGGAATGATTTTGGAAAATAAATAATTTTCTTGGGTAAATACATTATGTCGGAGGTAGGAAATAAGATGTGTACATTTTTATGTAAATGACAACATAGTTAACTCCTATGGTATTTCATATGTAAATAAAGAGATGGTACTCTTTCTCTGTCTCTTTACAAATATAAGTACGTTAACCAATTAAGAAAATCAATAGCGTTAACAAATCTTGGGTACAATTATATAAGTATACCCATGAATATCAAAAACTAATCATTTTACACACTTGAAAAATTAATTTTGAAAAATAGAGATGGGTTAATATTTACTTTCAAAAAATTAAATTATATTTTTGTTTTTACTTTTTACTTTGCAAAAAGTAAAGAGATTTGTATTTTTTAAGATTAACCATTTAAATTTAAAATAACAACAATACTCAAATCTGTTATAGACGTGAAAACGGTTGTGCGATTTTTCTTTAGATAAAAGAATTCTTTGTTTTACGATTTTCTGATAATATATAATTTTTTTTAAAAAGTCAAAAATGTGTTTACATTTTTGCTGAAGATATCAATATATATCGAATTCCTGTGATATAAAATATTTGCAAAAAACTTGCCTTAAATTTACACCAAAAACTCTATATATAAAATATGTTTTATATCATATATAGAGTTGTTGGTGTAAATTTAAGGCACGTTTTTTAAACAATTTTTAGAGAAAAAAAGTTGTAATTCAAGGGCACAAAAAGGGGTCTATCTAAAGTATTTCTCTAACGTAGTAATTGTCCCTCAATGCACTTCTTTAGTGACAAAAGTGATATAATTAGTAATAATTGAGACTGTGTAATTGAATGTATTGCTTAGATGGGTAAAAAGTAGTTTGGGGGCGTGAAAATGAGTAGGATAGTCCCATAATATATAGCAGATAAATACTTCTTAAAACGTAATGTTAGAAACCTAAATATCATAACATTTTTAAAGTTATGAATTGTGACGAGTTTTTGCAATAACAGTTAGAAATTATCGCAAAGGACCTACCATTATTATCCCGATAACATCGGGTCATTTATTCTAGTATATATCAGAGATATAAGAGACATTTGAAGGTTTACCAGTTCTTCCTGTATATGAATGCATATGTTGTTTTCTGTCTCTTATTATTTGTTTTCACATGATGCAATTTAGTAAAGAGTAAAACAAGATATGTTAAGGCTGGACAAAATGAGACTGAACAAATAAATATGTTTTCAGTAAAATGCTTATACGGGTGTACAATACAAAAGAAGAAAAACTCGTTTCAAACATTGAAAAACTTAATGTAGCCTTATCAATCTCTCTTCAAACAAAGGCCAACATATAAAAAGGAGCTTTCCAGCTCAAAACTTGTCACTCAAATAAATCTTCTACAAAACCTTCGTTTTAAAATAAAGCCCAACTAACTTGCTATGTCCCCTTTACTCCCAACTTAAAGAGAGACGTTTGTATCTAATGTTGTTATATAATATAATTTAAGGGCTTTACACATTGGTAGAAAGACGACGAGGGCTGCTGTTTTTCCAAAAAGTAATTGGAAGCCTGGCAGTCTAAATTACCAGAAGTTTACAAATGCATATTTTGTGAGCAAATAGATGCAATATATATTGTGCATTTAACTTTCAAATTTTCCTTATAGATTCATGTTCTTGAAATGGCAATAGACACAAATTGGTTTAATATTATGAACATTCATTTGAGTATGTATATTATATGAAACATTTTGTTGCTTATAAATAAAAATATACTTATTTCGTGCTTTTTTACTTTAGGACATGGCCCATTTTCACATGTTTTTGATGACAAATTTCTTGCGAAAATCAATCCACAAAATACAATTAAGGTAAACGATTATCTCATGATATAACTAAAACATAATATTAATGTTTAATGATCTTTAGGCTTTCATATTTTTACCCACAACTCAAAACATGAATAGTGCTTATTTATCTTTCAATGGAAAAGTTAAAAATTCAATAACTAATCCAAATAATTGATTACGTGTTCTTGCTACTCATCCAGCATGAGAAGGCTGCCGTTACAATGTTTGAAGAGCTGATCACAGCAAACTCCTTGGACAAGAGATTTAATAAGTTTGGTCTTAAAGAGGATGACATCATTTTCATAAAAGAGCTAATTGGCGGTCCTTTGAAGACCACAGGCAAAGCTGTGCGTCACTCGCATTCTTTTTTTTACGTATAACGTTAAAATCTAATTTTTTTCTTTCATTGGTTAATTGTTAATGTTTATCAACTGAGTATTTAACGTACATGCAAAAAAGCACAACAAAAATGTAAAACAATATTTAAAATTCCTTTAACCTTACCTGCTTTTAAATCAGTGTAAAAGTTAGCTAAATTAATTAATATTTAAATGTAACAGAAGTGTATACAGTTAACAAAAAATATTTTCTGATCATTTATTTTTAAACACATATTATTATGAAAATTTTGTGTTACTATATAATATTTTCATTTTGATTTTGATTTAAATAAAGTATAATTTTTCATTTACAATTCACAGGACTGGCCATATATAGGAAGGAAGGAAGATAAAGCATTTCTGTATGAGGTAAGAATTTTTGACCTTTTAATCTTATTCATCAGAATATTGTAAGTATACAGCAATCAATGTAAGCTATTTAATTCATCTGAACTAGGTTTCCAAATTAGTGTTTAATTCTTTCCTCCTTACAATGAAATGTATTTAATTTGTAATAATTAATATAACAATTGTAATAATATACTGTGTTATGTATAAAGTTTTTCACCATTTCCCCGTGAGTGAACTTTGCTTGAGCTTAAATTAGATTTCTAAGCAGACGCTCGGTTCATAGATAAGCGGGGCTAGTTCTTTTTATCTGTCGTGTTTACCAATTAAAATTGCTAGACTGTCTACTAGTATCTTATGGAACGTTCTCGATTGTATTAGAAAAGTAAGGGCTTTTCTAAACGCGTCGTTAGACCAACATATATAAAGCATTGACAGGCACGGAGATTATGAGAGAGATTTAGATAGATGCTATTTGAGGTAACGAGACAATTGCATTATTCTTTGTGTGCTCATGTGTTTATTCGCATTCGTCATTCATCATTATTAATTTGCACATTGTACTAATTGTGTACCGGTAAAAGATTAACCCATACTCCGTAAGTTGATGATTTACAATTATAATTCTGTTTTGTAATTGTATTATTCCTAAATTAAATCTTATTAATTGTAACTGGCAACTAATGTTTCGTGTCGTATCTTTATTATTGCATTTATCTTTGGTATTGTCCTCTGTTAGGCACTTTTTGAACGAGCCATACATTTATAATGGGATATTAATTTCTCTAAATAGAAGCCATTGAGTAACAACTGTAATAAACTTATTAGACACAAAGAGAGCATAGAACTCAGATGCTGAACCTTGAGAATTGCATTACATAAAGTAAACTGTTAATATATATATATATAATTGTAAATTGAAACCATGACTTAGAAAACATCCAACTTTTTTTTTTCGTTTCTAGATTGTCTGCAATCAACGTAATGGGATAGACGTAAACAAATGGGATTATTTGGCAAGAGACTGTCACCATCTTGGCTTTCACAACAATTTTGACTACGCCCGATACATGATGTTTGCTCGCGTAATCGAAGAAGATGGCGAACTGCAGATCTGCATACGCGATAAAGTAACATTCTATATATATATATATATATATATATATATGTACTCAACAAAACAAAAATACATACACACACACGAAATTATATATATATATATATATATATATATATATATATATATATATGTATATATGTAAATGTGTGTGTATGTATGTATATATATATATATATATATATATATATATATATATATATAAAAAAAAAAAAAAATACATACACACACACAAAATTATATATATATATATATATATATATATATATATATATATATATATGTATACAAATGTGTGTGTATATATGTATATATATATATATATATATATATATATATATATATATATATAATTTCGTGTTTGTGTATGTGTATATATATATATTGCATATTTTCAAAAAAATCAATTTTAATCTCATGAAAAACATGTAAAGTAATGAAATACCCTTGGAAATGTATCTGTTAATTATTTTTAAGGAAACTGCATTATAATACCTGGGTAGATTTAATTAATTTTAATTTATTCATTTATTTATTTAGGCATTTTTATATAGCGCTTACCTTAAAGCTCTAAGCGCCTTACAATTATTAAAAACATGTAAACTAACTAAAATAAAAATGAGACTTTAAGATAGTAACTACTATACTATAGAAACAATTAAAATGGCTATACAACGAGGACACTTTGGCACGTTTTGGCCTATATTACAAGATTAACCCGAGACAGAAAATGAGGCAGGGCAAGGAGGTTGCATCACAGGTCATAGGCGGATCTAAACAGATGGGTTTTAAGGGACTTTTAAAATATTTTTTAAGGAAAGTAATATTAATCTAAAAAGATATTTTAAAAAAAGCAATGAATTAAATAAAAGTCCACAATTAATAAATTGAAATTTGACTCCCCAATTATTAACTTGTAAATCTCTTTCTCTTTTAAGTTGTCGTAACGACATTTGTCTCCAAATATGTACGATTTAATTTTCTATAAAAAACTAGTTATTGCTGTAAATGCATTTAAAATATAAGATTATATTTTTATCAATCAGATAGCCTTACTTTTTTAATGAAAACTGAGAGGATGAAATCTTATCAGAATAACACTATGTCACAGGTAAATAAAATGCTTCTGGAATAATAAAGCAGACAATGGAAAAAATTGTGATTGGTAGGACTCATTATTTATACTGATTGTAGTGACGCTAATCGTATCTACGAAATAAGTCTACGGATCATCTTCCTTAGAACTCAGATTTTAGAAAAAAATTGAGACAACCACTTTTTTTAAAAAAAGTGTGTTTTTTTCAGTTTCTGATGCATGATAATGCTATTGTTCGTTTACCATAGGTGGAAAAAAAAATTATGATTATAAAATAAAGTCAATCAAAATGTATTTGAGAGGACAATCCAGCAGCCATCTTCATATAAGCCAAAATTTTCAATTCCAGTAGAATCCTACATTGCAGGATGCTCCATCGTTTGAAATACTGACACAACTCATTTAGTTGGTATGGAATTAAATAATCGCAGAAACCAACGTTTTTCGTATAGAAACTTTACAAATGCAATATCCAGCAATGAAGCTGAGGATAAAAATTACACAAAACATGAACTTAATTTAACAACTTTATAAGAAACCCTACCTCCCCTCCAACACATTTTTCACACCACATAATTATAAAAATAGTGTAATGATCCATCTGCTCTTAAACCGCAGATTCATTTCAAAAAGTATTACAGGAAATTACAAGGAAATTTTTCGTACCAAATGCAATTCCGAAATTTTATTTTTAAGAATCTCATCTAGCGTTATTATCGGACATTTTATTTCGTGAAATCGGTGTCATGTTTCCTTCATTTTCGCCCTTGAAAATAGGGTTAAACATGGATTTTTTGAGATTAGTGTTGTGTGTTGGAGATGAAGATTTGATAAAGTGTGTCGTTATTGGCATCAAGTCTATTTGCCAAGATTCAGTAGTTTTATGAGGTTGACGAAAAATGAGTCAGTACGATTCCCTTCACAAATATTTTGCCAGCTGCTAACAAAAATAAAGTTAATAAAAAAGGATTCAATTAAACAACCCAAAATGACAAAGATTTTGTATATTTACTTTTAAAAATATAATATCCTTCTATCAGGGTGTTGCTGAAAATTTGACATGACATGAATTCCAGTAACTCAGTTTATAAGAATCCCTATTGGTGCTTCTCCTCCAAACCCCAAAGGCTCTAACCGAACATTTCTTTCAAAGCCCTGAACTGCAATAATACTCAAATGACCTACTTGCTTTTACACCGCTGATTTATTTCCCCAATTATTTTAGAAAAAAAAAGAAAATATAACGCACTAAACGCATTTTCGATATTTTGTTTTAAAAGAATCACATTTAGCGCAGTAATCAGGAATTTTTCTTTATGTTGCCTTTCGAAAATAGGAAAAACTGATTGTTTGTGGTTGGGGTGGAGCTGAAAATTTTATGGAATGTGTTATTGGCATCAAGTGTATTAGTTAAGTTTCACTTCAAAGGGTTGATGGAAAGGGCGTCAATTAGCTAGCCACGAACAAAAGGGAATTTAATATATTTTTTTTAAAATTGTAATTTTCCTCCACAACTGAAGAATGCCTAAATAAACTCGCATTTGTAAGAAAAAGGGCAACAACCACTTTTTTGACAATGTTAATAGTGCATATCTTACATGAAATTTGATGCACGTATGTAAAATAACAATGAAAGAAAACCTAGAAATATTTTTTCTCACATTTTTTTTTTTTTTAAATCTAAAAATGCATTTCGTGCAGAGTGAACGTGGAAGATAAGTGAGCAGTGTGGCTGTTTTACAATAGAAAAAGTCTAAGAACGAACATCACAAAGCAGTGTAAAGAAAGAATCTCACAAACGTTTAAAACTCACATACGAAAGCAGAATCAAAACAAAAGTCGTATTAAGAAGAGTGTATTGTAGTGTCTGGAACCAATTAGTCTTTAGGCTTATAAAAAGATGAAGTTATATTGGTCCAAAATGCCGGAAAATTGACTAGTGGACTGCATAAATCCTAGGCAAAAAAACAAAAAAAACAAAAAAACCATCTTTAACTATATTGTTTACGTAAGTTTCATGGCTGGACATTAACCCCATGATACAGAGGATTTACAAAAAGCTGACTTTCTAAGTTTCAGATATACTTACATAAATGACAAGACTGATTGGTTGGAGATTTTTTTTTAAATAGGTCAGATAGAAGAATTCGTAAATAACACAAAAGTATGGTAAGCAGCTATCCAGAGAAAACTTATTAACATGAAAGTATTAAACAAGTATTAAAATTTGAATTAGGTGTGACTAAAATCTCATCTAAACCCATAAGACTCCTACTTTTGGGTATCCTTAACAAGCTACCTGGTTACTTAAACAGTAACAACTGTGACATATAATCACGATTTTAAGATACTAAATTTAAGTTGTTGTTTTTTTTAATTTTTCCCCAGGAGCTAGCTAACTTGTATAACATGTTCTACACTCGCTACACCCTTGATAGATATGCCTATCAACACAAAGTGAACTGTGGTCTTGAAATCATGTAAGACTTTGTTGGTTTTCTGATTAAAATTTTAAATTCTCTTTTAAATAAGTTTAAGATGTTACGCAAATTATAAGACTTTACAAATATATGATAGGTGTGTTTATGCTTTAAAGAATTGCGATTTCTCTTTCCGACCTCATTTGTTTAAATAATGTAATGTATAAATAGTTTCTACAACAACAAACATTACGTTGGGGAGTTGCTAATTGATAATCACGTGGCACAGGGTGAGAATGGCAGAGAGAAATGTGTTTTATGCCCACGCTCTTTAAGGTAGAAGTATTTTAATAGTGTATACCACCAACGCGTTATTGGCACCCAAACTATGATGCTGGCAATTCAATAATTAAGAAAACACTGATCGTTTGGCAAGCGTTCCTAATTTATTTTTAAATGTTTTATTACAATATGTTATTCAACATCTCCCAAACTTTTATATAAAACGCTAATACTGATCTGTGTCACTTTAATTAGCCAAATTATACCTTACCTCGCTCCTCGTTCTACCATAAGATCAAATGAGAAATAAATAAAACAATTTATGACAATTTCTATGAAATTAAAAAACAAATGTAATGAAATGTTTGAACTTTAAATCGACAAAATGAGCGAAAGGAAGATAAAAATAAGACTTTTTTAATCTACAATGTAATTGCATAGAAATAAATAATTACTGATGTTTAATTTATTTTTAACAGGGTAACTGATGCCCTTGTTCTTGCCAATGATTATATCAAGTTCAAAGGAGAAGGCAAGTAAGTATTTATCAATTTAAAATGATTAAACTTAGTTTAGTTCAATAAGGGATTAAAGAATCACCATATGGTTATAAGGGACTGTATCTAAAGCGTTATCTTCAGTATTCAGCAATCTTCTTTACCTTTCTGGGCCCCAAATGCTATACAGTCCAGTTTTTCTTTGAGATGGCGTTAGCGATCTGTTCTTGGACATGATCGTGAAACTACATTTCTAGTTCAGTTTCAAATAATATTAAGCGAATATATTTTCCATCGGAATTTTCCACATCATTTGTGAGCAGAGAAAATAAATGTGTAACCTATTGCCATAGGACCTGTTGCTATTCAAATGCTCCCTTTAACGAATTTACTATTGTTTTATATACGTTTATTGACTACAAATTACTAATTCAGCAGCAAATAAGAAAAGTTACACATACATTTTCTGTGCAGATTATTGATACGAACTACGAATAACGGACAGCTTAAACGTAAATTTGGGAAGGAATACGTCATTTCCGCGGGAACTCCCCGTATTAATTTATGCTACATCGATCTGAATATTAGTTGTAAAGCCAAGATATTTGGTTTAAACATTACACTGTCAAGGACATGAGAATCGCTGTTATGTTTGGGGTTACCATAAATGTTTGGTATAAAATATATTTAGTGTAGAGAGTATGTGTGTAGATGTATCTATTGTGTTAAGAGTTTTGTGACGTAATTGGGTAAGGGGAAATGACGTGTTAATTTTGTTGTTAGGATAAACGATGACCATGCAGTAGAGTTGGTTGATGTTCACGGTATAAAATGTTGTATGCTGCTGAGTGTTTTAATCCTAGCTGTCTTTATACAGTGAATAAGCTTATAGTGTAAACTGAACTATGTAGTTTTATGTAGAAATGGTTGTAATACCGTGAGAGACAATTCCTAACAAAATAGTAGCCTGAACTTTATTTTAGACGACTATTTGTAATTGAAATCTAAGTCTAGACATAGACAAAAGCAATTTTATAAGATTATTCAATATTTAATGTTTCCAACAAAACTTGACAGTATCTTCGAACCAATATATAAGAAGTTTAAAAAAGCAAATTTCAAACCCACTAAACTTCTTAAAAATGTGATTGGATATAAGCAGCTTCCATTCCCATTGGGTTTAATTTCTTATTGAAAATTGATTGGCTCATGATACCTAATAGGCATCGTAAAAGATTTTTTAAAAAATTGTTGGTTATGTCCTAAAATTTTTAAGAACTTCATTAACACAATAGGACTGATGTCCGTCACGAAGCACAACTCATATGAATGACAATAACATCAGCTTACTCCATCAACAACAAATACCTTACATATACACTGATAATGCATAATTCACTGGACAAACTTGCGTTGGAGACACTTTAAATAACAACCTCATAATAGAAGGTTTCAAATAATTGAGTATTCTCTTCTTCTTCTTTATTTTGAGGGCCCACGATCAATGAATTGATCTTTCTAGCTCCTGTGTTTCAGAGGCGTTGGATATATTACTGTGCATGGTTTTCACCGTGATACTTCTTTTCCCTTAGCAACAATCGATACTATGTTTGTATTTGTCGTTGTCTTAGTTTTTCGATCTTTAGTGTTTTATATACCAATATATAAGTGTTGGTAACGTAATCCCAGATACTAAAAGTTTACTTAACTATTATTTGTTCAAGCACATCATGAAACATATCATACATGAGTACAAATAATGTATTTTACAGTTCCTGGTAAAGAAACACGGTTATGTTTTTAAAAAATATAAACGTTAAGTTAACTTCGCTTCCTTCATTCAAGTTCAATTGTATAGCTTGATAGAGTTCTTCACAATTTCGTTAATTGATGTGTCCATGCTTTATTTTTCTTGAATGATTATTAAGTAAAATAAATTATAAAAAGGCAAATGATTAAAAATGGATTTATTGTAACACCTGTTACAACAAGTATCAAGAGTCATAATGTAAGGTCTATCAGAATGACTGGAGAATGTATTTTAGATTAGTGCCAAAAAGAAAGCTTTTACAGATAGCTTTGTTTCCTAATATAATATATTAACATGTTGTAAAAATAATAACCATTGGGAGATATAGTTTTCCTTTTTATTATTGTTTTCATTCATATGTTAGGTCTAGTTCCACTAACGAAAAAACTCTTAGAACTAATTAAATTTACAAAACCATACGTAACAATTACTTATATAGTACTACTCATTACAAACATCACATTTTTTAAATAAGTATTTACTTTTGGATATGAGAGTTGTAAATATATATATATATGCTAAAAGGGGGTGTCAATGTAAAAATATCTATATAAAACAAGTGGGGACGGTGTTACGATTGAAAAAGAAAAAAAAATAGAAATACAATTAATAAATAGCATTCATTTTTTACAGGTCAAAGCTCATTTGACATCTTAGAATTAACATTTTTTATTCAAATGTATAATTAAGTATTTTAAAAATGTAAATTAACAGAATCTGTTTGATTAACAGGAAAATGCTTAACATTTCTGAGTGCATAACGGATATGAAAGCATATACTGAACTCAACGACAATGTCCTTTTCAAAATTTTATATTTCGACAATGAAGATGAAATGGACTCACAGAGTTCATCCTCTGAATCTGTTTATAGCCCAATTTTGTTTACACCTGAAACAAACGATGAATGGGACGTAGAGGAGGCGAGTGATAATGAAGAGATTGTAATGGAGGACAGTGCAACAAATGTTAGCACCTCTACTACTGACGATACTGAGGCACCAGAACCCAATCCTATGTCCACAAAAGAACAAAAATTAAAACAAGCCAAGGAAATAATCGAACGAATTTTCAAAAGAAAGCTGTACAAGTGCGTCTTTGAAAGTGGTCCAGTTAGTGCAAAAGACATCAATAATCAAAAAGATGTATGTAATCAAATAATAGATTATTATGGGTGGGCAAATACGGAGAGCTAAATATACAAATTAATAGTTGATAAAGAGAAAGCCAATGTGTATGTTTGCTTATTAACTAAGCGTATATTTATTCTAAAAAGGAACATAGCCTAATGGATGCTTACACAATTAGAAACATATCAACATCAGACTTAACCAGATTCAAGTATGAATCATTCATTATTATTAAACGGTTTGTTTCGAGTTAAAGGGTCACACTTTCAATAAGAGTAACATTTTGTTTTTGTAAAAAAGGATTTTTTTTTTTATTTCAGCTTGATATAAAGAATATTGAGCAGAACATTCTATTAAAAGCAAGAAATGAATGTAACGAAATTAATGAAATGGACTTTGTTGTTTCGGTAAATAATTAATTTCTTTAAGTTTTTATTTAGTTAAACTTACAATACAGTAATTAAAATAAACAACATGTTTAGGAATTTAAAATCATTTAAAAAGCAATTTAAATATAAACAATTATACAAACAACTAGTGAGTACCATTTAGCGTTGCAATGCCGTTTAAAGAAAGAAAGTGTTAGTTTGTTTTTTAATATGTGTTTATTGAAGACATTTTAAATGCACAATATTTTTTTTTTTCTGGTCTTGTTCATACATGAATAATTTGAATGTTGTTTCACGAGAGCAGGCCACATATAGCTGTCCATGTGAGAAGCATGGTGTCACGAGCTCTTTTACATTAAGTAACATTTGGGCCTAAATTATACACTTTTCTGACACCACCTTGTTTGTACAAAACAAAGAAACATAATAAACATACAATAAACAAAGAAGTCTTCAATTAACTTAAATAACTAAGACTAATTTATTATCTAAAATGCATAAGTAACTGACAAGAAACACAATGCAAAGAACAAAGCATATTATGTAATGTAATTGTTAATTATATTAAAAGATACACTAAGACACCTATAATGGTTGTCCTTTAACCTCAATCATTCAAAGCACATCTGCATGGTACGACTGCACGATACAGGCACTTTAGTTTATGACTCCCTCGACACACTACGGGCTGCTGGAGGAGTCTCGTGGGACTGTCTCCAATCTAGCGTCTCGTTGCTGCTCTGTATGGAACTATGCACCTTCGTCTCACTGCCAAGTGCTTGAGATAATCGGTCTGCTAGTATCTAGTGTCGACGACAATAAAAAGCGCGACTATTCCTGAAATGGTAATCCTCTACAATCATAACTCCCAAGCTAGATACTCACCGTAGTCTTCTAAACTACTAACGTCTACCTATCGTAACGATCAATCACACAAACTACCATAAATGTTTCTTATTCACACACCTTACATACACTTACGTCTCTATGTTGACTCTATGACTCTCTGGCAAACTGGCACAAGGTAAGTCCAAATCTAATTCTTTCCTCGTTCTCTAACCCTCAGTGTCCTTCAAAGTGTGGGCAGTGGTCAGTGGTCGTCTACAAAAACGGTGTCGCTATATACATGCCTATCCGCTTGCCCACGCTACCCTGATTCTAATTATTCCCTGGCCCCATCCTTGTCTCTCTTACGTAGTTTGACCTCAAGGTCGGTGGTCACTAAAGCACTGGCTGCCATCGGTGCCCAGAAAGAGACGACTCTACCTTGACGAATCCTAACGGTGTTGCACCGCGATAAATCTTGTAAAATATATTAATTATGCATCCCCCAATCATGTGTGATAATGATCGCAGGGGACGCAATCTGGACCCTGGCTAGCCGCTGGCTCTTCCCACGACCCTGCTGACCGACGCTAATAGTCATTCTGTGACACATGGATTTTTCAAATTTAGTTCACACACTTGTGGCGATTGTCCATATGCTTTGCATATGGTTATTGAAAATGCGAGTCACACAGGAAACTTCAGACGTTTGAATTCGAATAACATATCTTTTGGAATCGTTGGGATGCATAGCAAAATTGTAGTTTACTCTTTAAACTTTTATTTAAAATGCAGAACGGTTCGGAACAGTAATTCCAAAATGTAGCAGTGTTTTTTAAGTGATTCCCAAACATATTTCCTCAAACGAAACCAATGCCTCGTTTAACCTGTATTGTGTTAATCGAATGTCCGGATTTTAATTCTTTGCCTATAAATAATGTATGATATCTTAACTCATGTAATCTTTGTAATTTTCCAAAAGATCTTATAGCTTGGATCGGAATCTCGTTGTCATTGTCAAGGGTATGAGAATCACTGTTGTTATGTGTTGAGCAATTTTGTCATGTTCGATAGGGAAAAGATGTTGAGCTAGAGATTTTAAGTGTAGCGGTTTCGTGGGTGTGAGAGTGTAGTGTACTGTTCAAAACACGGCTAGATGTTGTGATGGAAGATTGATGGTGGATATAATATTTTGACTGTTGGATTTGTGTGTTACTGTGTGTTAGGCTGAACCGATTGGATTAGTAATCCGTAATTATATCACAACCCTAGTTAAAGGAATTGTTCTTAAATAAATTCATATATTGCTACAAACCGTAAAGTGTTTGTTGAATTAGAAACTGTTGCTATTGATTCTACTGTTCCTGGGATCAAGTGAGAGACTTGGCCAGATAAGTAGACACTCATTACCATGAGCGGATAATTGCAACTCAATAGATTCAACGCTTCTACAGTCATTATGATTCCAAATAAAGTGCGTATTTGCAGTGGTTCAGCTGTTTTTAATGCTTCAGTGTGTGATGTGTCGAAATGTGAATCGTTTTCCAGAAGATTTAATTATTACAAAGATTTACAATAAGAGGCTCTTACTTCACCGTTTAGTGTTCTCATGAAAGGATTCTATCAACGTACATTCATTAAAAGTAATCGAAATAAAAAATTAATATGCATTGTTTTGTTGACTATTGTTTTCTGGTTGGGACTGGCAGATTCCTGCTTTGAAGCCCAAGTCCCCATACCCGGTCTTACACTCTGAATTCATGGAGATAATTAACAACCATGGTCTGGAACAGATGGTTAAAGAACCCACGCGAGGGGAAAACACTCTCGACCTACTCCTCACTAACAGTCCACATCTCATCCCAAGAGTAGAAGTCATCCCCGGAATATCAGACCACTGCATACCGTACTGCGAATTTCAAGTCAGCGTGCTAAAAAAGAAACAGGCTGTGCGAGAAATCCCCATTTATTCAAAGGCAGACTGGGATAGCCTGAGAATTGCAGCGACTGAGCTGAGTTCAAACATGCATGAGATTCAGGGTAATGTGACAACAGAAGAGCTGTGGATGAAATTCAAGATAACAATCACTGATGCAGTGATGAAATTCATACCACACAAGACCTCAAAACCTAAGACTAATCAACCATGGGTTACGGCTGAAATCCAAAGGCTCATACACAGGAGAGACCGACAGTACAAACGTATGAAGAAGAATGGGTCGGTCGAACTAAAAGTCGAAGTACTGAGGCTCCGAAGAACATTCTAACGCTTACTGCGCAGATCCTACTGAACTACCTGAACGGCATCTTCTCAGTGGAAGATACAAACGCCAAGAACAAGCGGTTCTGAAGCTCTGTCAAGCATCAAAATTCAACAAACATCGGGGTTTCCCCCATGAGATGGGAAGGCAAGTTGAAGTCTGAACCCAAAGAACAGGCGGACATACTCAATCAACAGTTTCAGTCGGTCTTTGGGGATGGTAGAGAGTACTCAGAAGTTGAATTCCTTCTGAAGACCAACATGATGAGCACAGCCTACCCCTCCATGGAAGATATCCAGATTTCAGAGAAGGATGTGCTTGAACTCCTTAAAAACATTAACCCCTACAAGGCATGTGATCCTGACAACACCAAACCACGAGTGCTAAAAAATTGGCAAATGAAATCGCTCCTGCATTAACAATCCTCTTTCAATCGTCGCTATTCACAGGCAACGTTCCAACTGACTGGAGAACAGCGTATGTCACTCCAATCTACAAAAAAAGGAGAGTGTCGAGTATGAGCGTTCATTAGGAATTGTTGTGACTCAATATTATGTTCATTAGTTGTTGAACGCTTTTCCCGCGCTTGACTATTATAGTTAGTGAACGCTCTTCCCGCCATTGTCTTTATGACGTATTTTTATGCTGAGTCGTGACGTATTGTCTATGCAGTGTTGTGACGTATGTTTTAGTCGTGCAGGCAGTCTTGAGTGGAACCTTGGAGTGATAGGATGTTCATTATATTTACTTAGATATTAAAGTTATAGTTATTATGAAAGGGAGTTGAGTTTGTTAATTGATAGTGAGAATAGTACGACGCTTCAACGTGTGAAAGAACTGACGAATGTAATCAATCCAAGAAGACGTGTAGGAGTTGACAGAGAGCATTACGACCCAGCCAATTACCGCCCTGTATCCCTCACTAGCGTAGTATGTAAACTATTGGAACACATAATCGTAAGCGCGGTCATGAATCACCTGGAAAGACACAATATACTCAATGACTGTCAGCATGGCTTTCGAGTCAACGGATCATGCGAGACACAACTCCTTGAATTTGCTGAAGAATTGACGAGCAACTTGGAGAACAGCAAGCAGACTGATGTGCTTGTTCTGGACTTTTCAAAAGCATTTGACCGTGTCAACCATAGCTTACAATTACACAAACTGCAGAGATATGGGATCCAAGGCACTACCAAAACATGGATCTCTAGCTTCCTCAGCGACCGATTCCAGGCAGTAGTGGTAGATGGCAAAACCTCCTCATATGTCGGTGTTAAGTCAGGAGTCCCCCAGGGCTCAGTGCCAGGCCCTTGTTTGTTCCTAGCATATATCAATGATCTGCCCGAGAAGCTGACCTCTCAAGCTAAACTGTTCGTAGACGATTCGGCGGTATATAGGACAATCCTCAACAGCTCTGACCAGAGCCAGCTTCAATAAGACCTCAATCGGTTAGCTGAATGGGAGATGAGCTGGGACATGGAATTTCATCCTGTCAAGTGCCAGACCCTGTCAGTCTCCAGAAGCAGATGCCCTCTAAACCACTCTTACGAACTGCATGGCCATATTCTTGAGCAAGTTTCCTCCGTAAAGTACTTGGGTGTTACCATTCAAAGAGAGGTCCGCTGGGACGAGCACATTAACAGTGTATGCAACCGGGCAAACAAGACCCATGGGTTCCTAAGGCACAATCTGAATATCGAAAACTCAAGCGTGAAAGAAAAAGCCTATAAAGCCTTTTGTCCGGCGTATTTTAGAGTACGCTTCTACAGTCTGGGACCCATTTACCCAGAAAAGCATCGATAGGTTGGAGGCGGTCCAGCGACGGGCAGCACGCTTTGTCATGAACCGCTACAGAAACACCTCAAGTGTTGACAGCATGCTAGAAACACTGGGCTGGTCTACATTGGAAGAACGACGACGACTATCCAGGCTCACCATGTTGTACAAGATAAAAATGTGCTGGTCAACTGCTCCGGAATGAAACAGAAACTCGTTCATCTTTCCCGTAGACTGCGACAAAGCCACGACAGACAGTTCCGGCTGATAAAAACAAGAACAAAGAACAGGAGCTCCTCATACCTTCCGAAGACAATCAGGGACTGGAACAAGCTTCCAAAAGCAACAGTCGAAGCGGCTACACTCGACACATTTGTGTCTATTGCCTCCTGTATTCCAACCCCCAGTTCATAACACCATTGCTGAGTCGCCCTTGCAACCAGTGAAGCATCCCATTGAAACCAAAGCACAGTAACATCGCAAACCCCTCTGAAACATAGGAGCCAGAATGATCAATTCATTGATTGTGGGCCCTCAAAATAAAGAATAAAGAAGAAGATGAAGGTTATAATGACATAGAAAAATACGCGGTCTTGTGCAAAACAAATCACTTTTGTTTAATCGCAATCACATGCATGGTGTAGGTGCTCAAATGGGACATACATATCTACCAACCAAACATATATAAATGCATACATAGAAAAATACATGCATAAAAACATATATACATACATACAAACAAACATGCATACCTACAAATATACATTCATACATACATACACACATACATACATTCATACATGCATACAAAAATATATACATACAAACATACATACACAAATTTCATATATACTTAAATACATATATACATACATACATACAAGCATACATACATTCATACATACATACATACATACATTCATACATACATACATACATTCATACATACATACACACATACATACATACATACATACATACATACATACAATGTATGTATGTATGTATGTATGTATGTATGTATGTATGTATGTATGTAACATACATACATACATACATACATACATACATACATACATACATACATACATACATACATACATACATACATACATACTTACATACACACATACATACATACTTTCATACATACAGACAGATAGACAGACATACATACAGACATACATAAATATCTTTATTTAAACATATATTAATGATGTTTATTATTTTTTTTTCTATTTCTTTTTATATCACATCAGACAGCATATTTTGATTTTGGAATGAAAGAAGAAGACCCTGTAGAAAAATTGAAGGTTTATACAAAGAACAATCCTACTGAGGCTAAGTTGCTTACAAAAAAAGAGGTAACCTACTTTTACGTGATCGTAACTGCTTTGTGTAGAAAGACAACAAAATGATATTTGATTTATTTTATTTTTTCATTAAAGTTTGCATTAGTGAACATATTTCAATTTGATTAATATCAATTTAATAAATTAATACAGATCAGCAGAATTTTAGGTCCTGTAACCTATAAGGAAGTTGTCATCAGAGTTTACAGCCGATCTTTACAAGAACATATACAGAAAGCTATTTATCTTGCTTCGAAAAAGTGGTTTTCAAGCTGGAACTACAAAGTTGAAATGAAACAAAGTGAAGAACGGTAATTTTCTATCTTTGTCTAGTTGGTATAAAATAAATATATATATACGATTTAAGATTAATTAATTGATTAATCGTGTATTTTCCACGATAACATTTCGGATTAACGATTTATCAAATTCTAAATTGTCCGCCCAAAACTAAAAAGTTTACTAGAAGTCAGGAGGTAATAATGAAAGTAAGCAATATAATATGGTGGCAGAATGCGATCGATATCTTATATATATCAAACTATATCAGTGCTTTTTCGTGAATATTTTGGATTAAGTTGTCGCTTGTCCATAATATTGAACATTTTGACAACGTTTGTTGCATCTATTGGAATAAGTCATTCGCATATCATGAAACGAACATATGTTTTACTTATCATTGTCAAAACAAACATGTTAACCCGTATCAGAAAATTTAGTTTTGAAATTCAGCTTCATCTAGTAAGTTGGTAGTGGCATAGTCATCTACTTATAAGCATACTTATCTGAGTCAGTTTTTTAATCAATCTGAATACATGTTCAGCGTGACATTACAATATCACTTGCAAGTTAAATGGCTATTAGTAAAAGACCAATATCAACAGTAGAATTTGACAAACTTAAGCAAGTATTAAGCAAAACACTTAAAATACAGTTTACAACCTACCATGCAGGCCAACTATTGATCAATTGTTGAATGATTGTATTTTAAAAAAAAAAATGACAATTGTGTAATGTCCTATTTTTTAAACATCTCTGGGGGAAAAAAGTTCATGTTGTATCACTAGTCACAGAATTACTGGTGACTGGAAATTGTAAAGTGGTGTTCTTAAATCTTTGAATTTTATTGCAATTCATTATTCCAATAATTTTGCTGATTTATACGCATAGTTTTCCCCAGAGTGTGATACAACAAATAAAATTAAGGCTCTCGTCACAGACAATGCACAGAATAGTGCATGATTTCAGCTTTTAATTTAAGTGGTTTTCTTCATATTCCGTGTATGGCTTAACGACAGCAGTTGAGCATATCACATTTATTTAAGGCTGCAGATACTGAAACAGTGTTAGGTAAATGTTGCAAAATTGTAACCCACTTTAAATACAGTGATGAAAATCCAACCGAATAATAAAAATGTTGGGCAAAGCAAAGCAAGATTTTGCAGACCTTTGCAATGCAGCAAAGTCTGCAGCAGGCAAGACGAGCAATTACCTTCTAGACGCCACTGCAAACAACGCAGTAAAAAAAGTTTCACGTGTGTTAGGTAATAATTGGAAAATGATTTCTAAATACATCGACGTTTTATACTTTTTTTCTGTCAGGCAACGGTCAACTGCATGTATAGTTTTATATGTGTATTGCAACTGTAATCGTTTTTGACGAAGCACATGATTGTAAATGATGATGGTCCTGTACATATAGCCATAGTGAAGCCAGGTTCTGTTAAAAAATTCATAAAACGAGTAGTTGTTATGACCTGTACTGAAATATTACATATTGTTACAACACTTGATCCACGATAAAAAAAATATAAAAAAATTGAAGTAATCGTCAGACGATTCGAATAAACCATTTTTGTCACTTATTGAGCAACATATAGCAGTTACTTTGAATGATGTTCAATTTCATACTAATGATGACAATGAGATTGCCGATGAAACCATGTAAGAACCTGTTACAAAGAGCATTAAGTTGATGGAGTCTGACTCAGACTCGTAAGAAGGTGCTGTAAGCGTTTCTGATGAACTACACCGCTATACAAACACGACAAAAGTTGCTGAAAAAAATCATTCTCCTCAATGTTGGAACCTTAATTAACATTGATATCAGAAAATGTCGTTAGTGGCCAAGACCTGTCTGAACATAGCAACTTCGCAAGTTCTCTTTGAACTTTAATTACTATCAATTTTAGTCCATACAATTACTACCAAAGCTTTTTGTTTTTTTTATTATAGAATTTTACTTTTAAATCAAATTAATTTGTACTTAACCTAAAAATCAATATATATACATACATAAAATTACTACCAAAGCTTTTTGTTTTTTTTATTATAGAATTTTACTTTTAAATCAAATTAATTTGTACTTAACCTAAAAATCAATATATATACATACATATATATATATATATATATATATATATATATATATATATATATATATATATATAATATTAGAACCTGAAAATAAGAAAGTAACGATTAAAAAATTTAAAAAATCTAAAAACAGTTTATAAGTGTATTTTATTAGTTAAAGATTGCTACAACGCAATGCAATATTAAGTAGATCCTATTATAATTTATTGTGTGTTTTAAATGACTTACAAAAACTAATATTCATGTACATTTTTTATAACATTTTCTTAACATTTTTTATTGTGGTTTTAGTTCTTTACAAAAAACTATAATTTCTAAATTCAATTTTAAACAATGTAGGCCACGGAAGAAACCTAGGATGAAACCCATATCTCCGGAGTCACTAACGACACCTGAAAATGAAAACTTAGTTCGTTGACCGCATATTATTGTTGTGTAATAGTTTTTTTTTTAATTACTGCAAGAAGGAACTCCTAAAAAATTAATTTTTAGTTGTGTCGTCTTGTCTGGAAGCTTTGGAATGAAGTTTTAAAATGAAAATGGTCAATACCCATAATACAATAATTAAAAGAATTTAATTATGTTTATATCAATTGTCTTATGCCATACAAGCTTCAAATTTATAGTTAAGACACCAAAATAATTAATAGAAGTGCAAGAAAAAACTGTGGGGAGTGAATTGCTTGTTTCACTCCTAGAAACGAATTCTTTAAATGCTAATTTTTAAAAATATTTCGTTGTTTAAAAAAAAAAATTATTTACAAAATGCAGTTATTGGCTGTTGGTTTCCTTTCCTTTTATTATTCATTTATACGCCGAATACTATTTTAGATTTGAATTTTGAGCGCACATGTGTTTAATTAAATACTCAAAAAGACATTTACTTAACATATTTTTGCTTTATAATTATTCCTAATAATCTTATTTTATATAAATTTCTTCATGGTATGCTTCCATTAATTTAATACTTTGATACATTTGCATAATAATGTAATCTTATGAAGGATGCATTACATATAAACTTTTAATGATTATTTCACAGTCTATTTCTATCTATCTATCTATCTATCTATCTATCTATCTATCTATCTATCTATCTATCTATCTATCTATCTATCTATCTATCTATCTATCTATCTATCTATCTATCTATCTATCTATCTATCTATCTATCTATCTATCTATCTATCTATCTACCTACCTATCTATCTATCTATCTATCTATCTATCTATCTATCTATCTATCTATCTATCTATCTATCTATCTATCTATCTAGCTATCTATCTATCTATCTATCTATCTATCTATCTAATATATATATATATATATATATATATATATATATCTATATTGTGATCTGTATTTTCTACAAGATTATAATATGTAAAAGTTATAAAAGAAACTGTTAAAACTTTGAAAAAATAAAATTATGTCTGTATTCATTGCCATTATTTTTATATCAATATCAACATGCTTTTCAACTGTAATTTTCTTCAATTAGATTCATGTTTTTCTTTTACAAGTTAAAATAACAAATTTAAAAAAAAAAAAATGGAAATTCTACTCGTTTGCAAAGATACAAAATGACAAACCATTACTTGAGCTGAAACTCCAGCTGCCCGCTGCTTGTCTGGCTCACAATGTAGGTCGTGATTGGCAAGGCATCTTCCATGACTGTGACATGGTTTTCATTTTGTCTTAATGCCATCAGGTAGTCTTGTGAATTGGAAATTCCAGATTCAGCCAAAAGCTGTCTTTTAATCTTTGTAAAATCATTTAAAAAGGAATGTGATGTATAAATCAATGGGGTGGGAACACGAAAGAAAAAAACATATTTATTTTCAGAGACAAAAGAGAAAAGGCTTGTGCTCATCATATCCGCTTTCATATTACTTATGGATGTCATGGTTTGGCCAAGTAAAGATGAATCGGTTGACGTCACGCGAATTGTGAGAAAATAAATTACTCATATTAATAAATATACATTTTATTTTAAAACTACGATATTTGGTATGTTTTAATTAACCCTACCAAACTAGCTGTAATTGAGTTTAGAAACAACAAACATCATTTTGGACTCAAACCAAAGTAGGAGGCAAGCATGGGCAAGCGACCCTGTTTTACAAAAATGTGGACCTACCTTATAGGTGATAATATTATGTTGTTGTTTTTTCCATTAAAGAATAACTTTTAATTTAAATGTAGATCCGTCAATTATAAACTTCTAAAAGTAGAATGTTTGATTGAACACAAACCTGACCAACTGTACGAACACGACCATCGCGTTCATTGATGTTGATTGTCTTCAATAAAACTTGACCGTTGGGGAACTTGACATATATTTCATGGCCAAAGTCTTGCATGGCCTCTTTGAAAACATAAACACATAATAACAACAAATCATTATTCTTCGCTCATTAATGGCTGCAGTAACATAACAAATGCAGGAAAATACAAAATTAACGTCTACCATTTAGACACATCCGTCACACAACATGAATAAAAGCAAGGCAAATAAATGAAGATTGACTCTGCCAACCAAAAGCATATCTCCTCACCAGGAAATGCAAGGCAAGGGGTGGCGGCCTTCTCCTACTTGGTCAGCACCGTTGACATTAATGGTGGATCCGAAAATGATGTCAGGTTTATAATTAAAAAGGCTTGTTCAGTTATTGAAGGAAATATGGAAATCAAAAGAACTGAATCCACAAACCAAAGTCAAAATTTTCCACATAAATGTCAAAGCAGTCCTATTCTGTTGAGTCGAATTTGGAAAACAACAACCAAGTAGAAAGTAGAGATATTCACAAACACTTGCCTTATAAAGATTTGAAAACAAATGGCCAAGCATATTCAGCAACAAAGACTTATTTAGAGAGGACAAGCCAGGGCCAATGGCTGAAGACATTATAAGTAAAAAATGGAAGCGGATAGGATATTATCTTTATACAAAAACAAGATTAACTTCAACAGACAATCCCTAAAATGGAATCAAAAGGCAAAGGGATTAAACGAATGACAATGCATAAATTGGGACGCGACGTAGAGGTAGAGACAGATAATATGGAATATCATTAGAACTAGAGAGAAAAGCACAATCCCAAGGTATTATTAATATTGTATGTACATATTGTAAATAACTATGTTTTTGCTTTTGAAACTAAATATATTTGTATATAGTTCAATTTGTGTACTCTAAATAGTAATAAAGAAGAAAGAATGCAATCAGGTTAATAAAATGGAAATGAGCGAAACCAATTAAGTTCCAAAAAAAAAAAAAGTTGTCCCACTCATTGGAATAATTTAACCTGGTTTGATTTCTAAATGACTTCAGATGTAGCAAACATTTTTTGAAAGAAAATGGATTTCATAATTTGTTAACAAAATCAGTTATGTAAAAATCCTTTCCCATTTGTTGATTCGTTAAAACTAAATATAGTGCACTTTCATTAAATCATTGTGTACATAATTTCGAGTAATTATACTTACCAAATCGTTGGGTGCTAGCCATCTGAAGGATAAAGTAAAAGAAATAATTTTGCAAGCTACTTTAGTTTTTTTGTTTTTTTTAAATGCGTTTATTATTATTATTTTTTTAAAAGTATATTTTGTGTACTTCATAATGACCAAAAAAATCAAAAAGTTGACTTTACATGGTTTGACATCAGATATCGATTTGTATGGCTTTAAAAAAAATTTTCAATGTATTAATGTATCATTTGTTTGAGAACTGCTATTGAAACAATGAAATTTGAATGTCATGTAGCTATCATGTATAAAGGTTTTGATAATATATGGTTTAATAACTTTAGCACAATACAAGACATATTATTTTCGAATTGATTTATAATAAATATTATTTCATTTCAAAATTTCATATTTGAGTTAGTTCTTTTATTGTCTAACTATTTTTTTCATTTATTGCAATTTGACTTTGGATAAATATTTAATGAAAGTTAAAACTTTTGGGATAAACTTGCCCTAAATTCCCTCTTTTTGGGGAGGATTATATGGTCTGACATGTAACGACTTGGTGTGGAAGGGTAGGGAGATTATTGTAGTTTGTGTTTAAATTTTCGTCGAAGTTTATATTAGAGCCCCAAATAAAATGAAAATACATTAAATTGAAACGTTACTCTAACATTGAATAACTATAATTTTTATACGAGTTTTATGTTAGCCTTGTAATATTTGCATGAGACTTAATAATATTTTTTATTTGTACTCATCAAGGGGGCCAATATCAAGGACTTTGCCACTCCAACTTCTTAATTACCACTACTTTTTTAAAAATATCCCACGATATGTGTTGTGATTGTCCCTTAAAGAGGTCACACTCTAGCGGAGGTGACTCACTGACGGAGACGCTACAATTTGCTGCCCAAGATTTATCATTCATTAAAGGATATTATAAAAGTGAAAAATGTGTGCAAATAAGCAACGACTATAAAATTAAAATGCATTTAAATAGTGTGTTTTCTAAAACAGCATATCATGAATTGGATCAATTTTCCACTACAAATTATGGTCTTATTAATAATGTAATGAACTCAACAAGATGTGTAATCTTGATACACACAATCCCAATGAAATCGGCAGTGGATGAAAGTAATTCAGTTTAATTTGGTTATATTTATAATTGAATATATGTGTCAAAACAAATTTATTTTAAAACCGTGAACTTTTAACAATAGAAAATCAGCATTTAGCCAAAAACAGTTTATTCTAATGACATTTAAATACTAAAATAAATGAGATTGGGAAATCCAAGTCTAAATATAAACGTTTTATTTTCAAACTCAAAAATATTGTATTTTATATTTAAAAATTGCTCAATTGCATTCAATTATTTAATTCTTTGCTATAAGTTTGATGAGATACCTGACATTTTTAAAATAATAGATAAAACATTAAACAGCTTTGAGTACCATACTTTTGTGTGTGATCCAAACATTCAATGCCGGCAGGATTTTCTGATTTCTTTTTTTCAAATGGCCTATGCAAGGGTCCCCAATCTAGGATCCACCGACATAATCTTTCCCACCATAGGTCCTTAATTCGGTCCGCCAACAATCGTACGGGTACCATGGTAGCTTTAACAAACATGGAATCGGGCATTTGCCAGTTATTTTAAAATAGCGAATATCAGGTCAATTATTTACACTGAGGTACGAATAACTTTAAGCCGATGAAAAATGTGTGTGTTTTTTTCAAAAAATGTATTGTTTTATTCCTCATCGTCATATTACAAATAAGATATGTGTAGTGTACAAAGAACTTCGTTTAAACATGTTAAGCTAAAGTCCGGTACCAACAGTGTCTGACCAGCCGCCTGAATAAGATGTTTGAGAATCACAGAACTTAAGGCCTAAGAAAATATAATGGCTGTGGTGATTTTAAAGAAAGGGGAAACCCAAACTCTAAATTTAGAAAACTAATGCGCAGAAGCTATAATGGCGCAACCTGTGCGATTCTGGTTATTGAAAATATGTTTTCTCCAAGCGACATAAGATGACAAAAAATATTCAACTAAATACATTATCAGTTAATTTTTTCCCTCCCCTGAATTTCACGTACAAAATCTTTTAGACTTAAGAAGTTTATGACGGACATTTCCGATGTGACATTATCAAACATTCTAAAAAAATTGTAAATATAAATAGTGATGATGCTGTTTTTGTTGTCAAAGTAAAACATTAATTTAAAAATATTTCCAAAAACGACAAAAAACGCTGGAGGGGATTTTCCACTTGAAACATGGTTAATATTTTGCTGGCACATGTTCAGTTCACCCGAGTGAGAATCTTTGAAGTAAAATGGTTGCTCCTACTTCATTTTATTTTTTAATATATATTAAGCTACAGTTTTAATTAACATGAATGTGGAAAAAAAATTATATCTACTCTGATAACAAATGACTGTGTGTGTTTGTAAGGGCGTCTGTGCACAGGGTGGCACAATAAAAGTAAGAGTTCGTCATAAAATATTGTGAGAAAAATGTACAATGTAGCTTTCCATGGTGTTTTTTTTTAATCTGAAACATTATGTCAACTAATTAACTCAACATTCAGCGTACCCGGTATCTATTACGTTAATTTTTGTCACTATTTTCATATTGTAATTAAGTTCTCAAAACGAACTTTTCTGTTTTAATGACCAATATAACAGCAATAGATTGTATTCTGAATAAAGAGTTTAATAAATTAAACAAATAAATAAATAAAAATAGAGAGCTACGCAATTGACAAGTGTCTTTCAGAACGAGGATAAAGTAAATTAATTGTATTCGGATTATTTTAAAAAAAACATGAAGTTGGTGATACGATAGCACGAACCTAAGCTTGATTTCGTCTGAAGTCCGTTAGATCAGAGCATGAGCTTTTAGGTGAGCTGATTGTCAGACATATGAAAATGCCAACAGTTAAACTTTCAATATAATACAATTGAGTGCAATTTAACGTATTTAAAGGATAATATGTGATTAAGTAGAAGAAACTAATTTTGTGGCTTGGAGTTAGAGTAACATATTATATATCACTAAAGCTCCTTATTCGCGTTAGAGTAAAATGTTAATTTTTATGTCTTAACTGACTTGTTTAAATTTTGAACCTAGTGTATATGAAAATAGTTCATTAAAATGTAATTATTTTTTTTTGTTATTTAATTTAAATAGTTAATACAACAACGTGAGTCAAAGCAACATATCAAGAGCAACAGATGTAACAGTTATTTCTGTATATCAGATTGTTTAATATATTTTAAAATGACCATTTTATTAGATTTTTTTTTTTTAGAAATTAAGACAATTTACCATAAAGTATTTATCAAATAATAAAATAAGAGATTGAGTAACATATTTTTTTTTTTAAATTGACTTTATTTTGAATTGCATTTTAACAAACTTGAACATATTAAAACAAAATCTTTAAAAAATATGGTCTATATGAGTATTTCCAAACTTCCTGGTCTTAGTGGCATTCGTTTGATCTTAATACGTTGTAGATGAATCAGGCACAACCGTTGTGTGTCAAAGAAACAACAACAACATACGTTATTTTTTATAAATAGTTACACAAATTATAAATGCAGACGTTCGGCTAATGCTTTCCTCAGAACAATAAATACATTTATATAATTTCAAATTAAATTAACGTCATTTATCTATATCCTCCTTATGCGTTAAAAAGAATGAAAGGATCAACATAAATATAACTATCCAAGCCTTACACCAGTAGTCAGAAGTATTGTAGCCAGGCCCGGTTTAACCATTAGGCGAACTAGGCGGCCACCTAGGGTGTCAAATTTTTAGGGGGGCGGCACTATTAATTGAATAATTAGTTGCCGTGGGCGGGGGGGGGGCGCAGCGCGACAAGTTCGCCTAGGGTGCCTAATACTCTGGCGCGGCCCTGATTGTAGCCCATATACATTTTAATTTAAACGAAAGTATTTATTTTTTGAAATCAAATTAATTTAATTGTGTTGTTGCTTAAGATCGCTTAGGCTTAAATATTACTTTTTCGCTAATTAGAAAAATAAATTTATATAAAAATAAGTAATTTTTTTTCACCTATATGTTTAGAAGAGCAATTTGGTATATTAATTTTTTGTTCTTAAAATCTCTGGTTGTCTAGCACGTCAGGTAAGTCTATTGTTGATTTGTTTGTATATGTTACCACTAATGACCAATTCAGATGTTCTTTGACGAACAACGTCATACATGTTAGGAAAAACAAACATAGCCCTCGACACATAATTATATTTCTCTTATATAGGTTCAAATGTGAAAAATCCACTGGTGAGGTACTCCATAAATTGAGTTATTTTCACATTATCTTGCATAATGGCCTGGTGCCAAGATGTGTTGCCCAGCATCTTGTACTTATCTGGCAATTCTTTTATGTTGAATTTCCTAAAGATTTGCTCTTTTATCTGTGGAAATAAAATGTTTGTGACCTATGGTGTTTGTAACATGAGTACTACTAAAGGCATTGGTATAAAAATTCATGATTTATAGTCACAATTTTTGTTTAGACGACGTGGTAATGACAAAGAAATAAAAAATAAAGTGCTTATGTGAATTCTGAAACTTGTGTAGTTAGTGTTTGACTTGATTGCATATTGAGTTATGTGGATACATCTGTGTGACGTTCGGGGATCCGAACTATCTATTGCATTTGTGTGTGTGTGTGTTTGCTCAAAGTGAAAACAAGTGTAGACAAAACGGAGCTATAATTGGATACAAATCATACACTCCAGGTGTTGACTGGCCCGGAGAAATTCAAGTGGTCTCCCAGGGTACGTTAATTTTTCTCAGCCTGAGCCAATTCTACATTTAATTAAACTTACATATTAATTCTCTGATTAACTATGATTGCCCTGGCTCATAGGACTCCCAAGTCCCCCACTGCACACACGATGTATGCACACCACATTGTATAATCTCACTTTTTTGACCAGATGGTCGTCTCCATTGACGTCAGTCAGCTGGATTCGAATCTGATTTAATTTTGAGCCAGGCACCCCAGGGTTCGGTAAAACAACATTTATGTCTATTCCATCATCATCTGCTTCTGTAATTGAAAGTAGAGATTATTGTATCAATTACATCTTGTAAATATATTTTAGGTATTCTTGAATATTTTACTTCGTCTTGTATTTACAAATCAAAAATGTATATAGATTAATTATTCCTCTCTTTGAAATGATGTTAATTGAGTTTAATGAATATAATAACATAATTAAGCTATTTAATCAATTTAATTATATTCTTTGGAATTTTTTGCTGGAGAATATATATTATGATTTTAAGAATGCAGAATACAAAAGATATACGTTATCTTTCATTTCTCCATCCATATCCGATAATACGATATAAACATTTATGTAAAAATTTGTTGGGATGATATCTTACCACAGCAAGCAACGTTGTCCATTTTTAAGGAGCAAAGACTTTCAGCTGGAATTAAAATAACAGTGTGAACAAGTTTAAAAAAATAATTTATATGCGATCAATCACGCAAGAGTGTATCTATGTAAAAGTTAATACACTCGGATTGTCTCAATTGAACACTATAAGGTGTCGTATCATTTATTAGTGAAGGAGATCATTTTAAATATCTGTAGATGAGCTATTATTACTTATGCATAAAGTACACAAGTTATTACTTAAAGGGGACAGCGAACATTATAAGTCTTATCATTTTTTTTAAATGGTGGCCCAGCCTCATCAGAGTGTGACATATACATGTTAACTTACATCTTATGCTTGTATTGTTTTAAAAAACACATCTAAGTCATATAGATAAATAGTTAAATGAAAATTAATACTTTTACATCGCTTTAGGTATACCATTGTTAAGAATCGTAATTCGAATGAGGAAGAATGTCAGGGTTGAAATTACAACATATTTTTGAAAGTAATTGAAACTTGTTATGGAACCTATCAACATTTCTGAAATAAACATTAAAGCTGTAAAGCAATTTTTTTTTTATGAGTGGCCCAGGTGGATAATCTGATGGCCCATGTGTAGAGTTTGGTGGCACAGGTGGCGAGTTGGGTGGCCAAGACGGAAAGTTCGTTTCATAGGTTGTGATTATTTTTCACCATATCAAAGTTCTTCATTAATGATAAACTTTAAAGTTGCTAGATCAGATACACTATTCACGTCATGATCTCATGGTCCTGTTAAACGTTCCCTGTGCACTCTACTCGTTATGACCAATGGAAGTGGACTTCCGGTTCCTGTCTTCTTTCCGCGTTTTTACACTATTTAATCTCTCACCTGGTTATAGTCTAACACATTCATTATGATGTCCTCTAGGATACTACATTACATCTAAATGTTATTTTAGTTAATTATAATTTTAACGTCGTTGGCGTGCTGTTGAATGCTTCTTGAAGATGCGTTCGTTGTTAGGTTACATTTTTTACTTTATGTTATTCAATACTGTTTAACTAATTTCCATTTCCAACCTGATTAAAGTCTCTAACAATTCACTTATATAATGCAAGCCCAAACATGTTTTGTTTCAGCAAAAAAACAAAAAACAAACTGAAATGCCATGTGTTCGTATGATACGATCTAATAATCTTGTTCAATAATAAGGTTAATCATACAATAGGCAATAAAGAACAAATACAAATGATCAATCTCTTTACTCCATTACAAAATTTAAAATAAACTATTGTAATGTCAATATGTCAATGCCAATGCCACGTGAAGTGGTGTTATTTAAAGTACTTTCTCTACATTAAGATACGGGCGCCCTCAGTCGGCGAATTTGTCGCACCTAAATATCCGGAAACTATTCATCGTTATATTAACTATTGCTGACAGACGCTTCCGTGTATAATCCGTACCCAGGACTTAAAGTAACATTTATTTTACCCTAAATTCTAGTGGAATATATCCACGCTGTCAAAAATCGTGCTTTTTAAAAAAAATTCTTTTCAACGTCATTGTCAGCTTATTCATTGAAATAATTTAAATAACGTTCTTGTACGTTTAAAGAATATTATATATCACGACTTTATTATCATTCGTTAATTTACATTGTAGAAATGGTTAAACAATAAGTTATGACGCGATAAAAATGTTCGTAGTATTTTTTTATTTATTTTACAGCTAAAGACATTATCACTAAAGTTAGAATCATGAGGCAATGGCTTTGCACGGTGTCAATGATAAGTCTCTCTCAGTTTGTCAAAGCCTGGGGTTGGCGATCCAAACACCAAACGATACATTTGGCTATGAATCAAATTTGGTTTTCCGTCAGATATTTTCAAAAAAAGTTAATGGAGTTCAAAAAATATTATTTTAAATGACATAGTTTATTAAATTTTAATTATATTAACAATTATTCATCCAGTGAGGTAATTAAGCAGTTGTATATAATTAAAATTATTTCTTATGGGGGATTAAGTCAGTTGCAATTTAAATACGCGAAAAAAACTTCCCTGACAGGAATCTTCAAGCATAGAAACTGGACATTTCAGAATGGTTTTCAATGAATGGATCAACTTCCCTCTGTGAATCAGCAGTATAAAAAAAAGCGTTCATCTAGCCAGAATACATGTTTGTAACCAATTGACTATGTGGATATTTAGAGGCAGCGATTAGGCAGCACAATTTGTTTTATTGAATCTTCTTTAAAAAGTATTATTTCATAAATTATTTATTGTGTGGTAAATGTTACTTTTTATTTGCTACCACTAGGGTTTCTTTGCCCGCCTTTCCCAAAGAATAATTATTCAATAATGATACGTTTGGCAACGTTAAAATATCAAAATAAATGAACAATCAACGCAGTGTTCTCATGTAATGAGTAAATCTGTCTTATGCGCCGCGCACTGGAAGGACATTAAAACATAAAACATTTATTGACCAACTTAGTTGCAAAGCAAGGTTTGGCACATTTTGATATTTAGCGCTCATATACGAGAAAAATACGAATTTCCGCCACAGACGTCCACTGAAAATACGTTGATCTAATCTTTCTGATGCTAGCGAAAAAAAGAAAATATTTGAACACTCTAAGCTCTTTAGGTCCACAGTGTTTGAGTCTATAACCACCTAACAATGCCAAAAACATACAAATCCACAAACACATATTGAAGTACATATACAATATAGATACAAATACTTTCGATGAAATTAAATTTGTGTGCATAACATTAGCAGAAACATGGAATGTTGTTTTAAATATATTTCAACTGCTTTAAATAGAAATTACAGAAATCAACACACAATGTGGATACTACGAATCTTCTGGGGTTTTTTCCTGTAAAGTTTGCATTTTACTTTTAAGAATAGGGGAATGGGGACCAGAGTGGTGAGAATGCAATTTGACTAGTTATGACTTATTTTGATCTTTATATTGAAAAAAATATTAATAAAGCATGCACAGCAAAATAAAAAACAACAAAACCACAGCTATTTTGTTTGAATCAGATATAGCAGACAAAGAGATATATTTATTTAATAATAATTTAACATAATATAAATAAATTAGGATATGTTAAATTAAGTTTATTGGTAGTATAAATAAATTATAATACCAATAAACTTAATAGTAAGAGGCTAATAATATATTTGATTATCAGTTTAATGTATATAGCATTTATCAGGTTTTATACATAGCTTTAGTAAAATATAAATTATTCCAATAGAACTTACCAATAGTTACAGACTGTTATTTTGAAAAAACTTTTGCTTTGAATAGCAAAAGAAATAAACTAGATTATGTTTAAAACCTTAAAAATTACGTCAATTTTCAACGCTAAAAACAATAACATAAAATTATAATCTAAAATAATATAGGGAAATCCCTTAAGGGAAATTTCTTAAAAAAAATATAGAACAGGAATTTCCTTACACGTAACTCAAAGCACACAATATTTTTAAGCTAATGTTATGCACACCAATTTAATTTCATCGAAAGTATTTGTATCTATAATGTACATTTTGAAAGAATTTTTGAGCTGTAATATTTACCTGAGACAGTTTTCAAACTAAACAACATGTTTAAAACAACTATATTGTTTTCTTAACTACCCTGCAAAAGAGATTCAACTGCCTCACTGGCATTTGGTGTGTTCCCATCACAACAGTAAGATTCAAATCCACATTATCAAATAGCAATACTTTTCAAAGCTGTGAGAAGTAGCCGAACCCATTTTTGATGTATTCTATGCCATGTGTGATGGCCGACCAGTCAATTATAGGGACCACATCTTCTCCAAATGTTTCTTCCTAGGCTCAATTGTTATCCTTAAAAGTCATCATCTACAGTTGAACTACTTAAAAACTTGCGTACGTTTTCACGTCACTTATGTAATACGTGTACCTAGTAATATTAGTCATTTTATGAGATGTACATTTTTTTTTTAAGTGACACTTTTCATCTCTTTCCTTCTAGACTCACTCCAGATTACTGACATAGGTCGTGATTAATGCAGGTATTATGCAAATCCCATCAAAATAATGATTAAATAATAATTATTTTCAATTGGTATTTTAATTTTTTAAATTGTTTAAATAATTTTTTGTTTGTTTTCAGAACAAATCCATAAACCGTAAAGTCCCATATGTTTTGAAACTGTGATCTGTTCAAAGATGTGGCAGATAGAAGAAATTAAACGTAACAACAACCGTGAAAACAATGTGAAAAGAAACGAAATCAATGTTAATGATACTGAACTTATTAATTTAATTCGAATGCATAAACACACAAATCTGTATTAAATTACAGGAAAGCCAGCGAATAAGTTACACTTCTTAAAAATATAAGTATTATTTTACAGACACATAATTATATAATGTCTTGTAAAGCGAAATCTTTGCATTTCTCTCTTAAACTCTCTGTCTCTCTCTCTCTCTCTCTCTCTCTCTCTCTTTCTCTCTCTCTCTCTCTCTCTCTTTCTCTCTCTGCTCTCGATCACTCTGTCTCTAGCATTTTATAATATATATATATATATATATATATGACAATACAGATATTCTATAGATTAAGTGAAATAATTGCATTTTTGTGAATACAAAGAAAATTGTCGAAAGGAAACTACATTTCTCCCAATAAAGAGAGTTTTGGCAAGATGTGACACATCACATTGACTCGATGGCATCAATGTCAAAGCCATTTCAATGAAGAAATTTGGTGGTGGCTCAAAATAAATCTATGATGAAGTAAAAACATAGACCAACTATTAGCTATACTAGGCTATACTGGAAAAAAAATAAAAAAAATTAAAAACAATCATTTTTTTATTTTTATTATAAAATAATATAAGAATTTTTCATAGTATACACACACATGCAAACTTTTATATATATACAATAAGAAAGTTTATTTGAAAATCATGCTTCGTCCCCAAAGACTTGAAGTGCGGTACAAAGTCAACCATATTAAAAGAGAAATTAAACAATCTATATTTTACCCCATTGAAATACAAAACGAAACATCACAAAGACTATGAACTTCCATACTCATTCAAAGTTTGTCATCCCTTATAAACATAAATAACACAAGCCAATATACATCTAGGTGATAAAGCAAGCTAGAAAAGATGGTAGACAACATCACCCCCAGCAGGTGTTTGCGAAATAGACGTGTTTTCAACTCGGTTTTGAAAGGCTCCAGTGTCTGGCTGTTTCTGAGAGCGTCAGGGAATGTTTTCCGAATGGTTGGGCTAGCAAATGCGAAAGAGCGCTTTCCGTAAGTCTCAAGGTGAACACGTCCTATCGATAGTTTGGCACTATCGGATGAGCGGAGTTGTCTGGTGAGTACATAAGGCGTCATGAGCGCTTTGAGATAGGACGGTGCCAGGTCATGGAAGCAGACGTAGCACAGAGTTGCAATTTTTAAAAAAAGTTGTAATACACAAGATTACAGCAAACATAAAGTAAAGTAAGATATTTTTATTATTGACATTATTAATAAAGGAAGGAAAAAGCAACAACTTCCAAACAATATTTCAATTTTAATTGGAAAATTGAATAAGTAATGAATATTTTTTTTTTTTAACGAGCCTTTAAGTAAGCTTTAAACAACACAGCTAACTGATAATACAAGTTTACAACTGCATCGTCCCAAAAAAAAAAAACAACAAAAAAAACAACACAACATCATTGCAGTTATGTCAAATGATGAATTTTGTAGAATCCTGAAGCCAGGATAAGTTTAGGAAATAGTACGAAACACTTTATATTAGAAAAGCATACTAAGTGGGAATTGTAAAGAATGAACTGTTACGTTGACAAACTTGGTCCTATAGGCATTCATTTACTTTTGGGAACCCGAATAGAGAAGGTCCTTTCGTCACTTTAGTTAATAATATCATTGTCAGAAATCTTTATTTTTTTATCACGATCTCTGCTTACATCGGCTAGTCCAAGGTTTTAATCTCTTCGTCTCACCTTACACGTTCACATGAATAGTATGCTTTAATCGTCATTGTCTGAGCTATATTTAAGCTCTCCATTGAAACTTTCCATTTCAATACTACTAAAGTTTAAATTCTCCTCATGGTTAAATCCACTGTGAACATGGAAGCTGCCTCTAAGAGAAGTGATACAGGCTCCACTACTGCCAGGGCATGTGGGTGTTTTGTACAGGGACTTTGTCTTGTTCCATTCTTGATCATCATAATCATGATAATTATCTGGTACATCATCATCATCTGACTCCTCAAACATGTGCCATCTTTCAATTTCTCCCATTGTCACCATTTTGGGACCACCATGGGGATGGGAGACAATAAAATTAATAGGATCCAACAATTCATTGTAATCATCACTAACTTTATGGCGTAAATTTTGCCAGATTCCAAGCATCAGTTTCAACGAATTTAGTAAATCCATGTCACATGACTCACATTCAAAATAACAACAATCTTCATATACATTTACCCTCTCAATTTTAGAGCCTTTAAGTGTCATCAAAGGACTATCTTCTCTATCAAAGAAAAACCTACATTCTGTATGTCTCGCCTCTATGTCATCGAAAACAACATGAGTGGCTGTTTTAATTGTAACCTTCCCGCACACTAATTTTGGTGTGGCCGATTGGCTACAATCTTTACAAAAACATTTTCTTCTACCAAAAAAATATCCATCAATACAGTTAATTGTGACATCGGTAACTGTTCCTGTACCTTTCCTAACCAATTTTTTTCCTCGATGCGGATAGAATGGATACATTTTATTTTCAGGATCAGATGATTTATTTTTTATAGGGAAATATTTAGGTCTCTCTGTACTCGTCATTGTCACGACAAGTCTTACAGTAAGGTCACCTGTTACTTTAATGAGCTCGTAAGTGTCGTTTTCACAGTAAGGAAAGGGTATGTGACAGATGTTGAAATCAAGAAAAGGTATAAAATCTTTATGACCAGAGTTTTTTGTACAATCGCTGTAATGTTTGTGTAGATTTGCTTCAACGTCTTCAGCTATTTGGGTCTCGTGTGTTTCTGAAATTAAATCGTGGAAAGCCACAGTTAGACTTAATGTTGTTTAAACTAATAGCTTCGTCATTTTTCCTATATTACGAGAGCGCAATGTAAACTTTCCTAATGTTAAACAAGGAGACATTTTTTGAAATGCGGCCATTAGATCCACCATTAAAAATCTCTCATTTTCTCCGCTCAGCGTAAATTACATTAAAGTAATAAAACTAAATTAAAGACATGGTGTTGTTTCATTTAAATAGACTTTGCCAATAATGGAAATTAATGTAAGTGATTCAAAGAAAGAGATAAATGCGTGTTGGAAATAATTTGGCTAACAAATGGACTGTTAAGAATGTTTATATTAAAATGTTATAATTCCCTTTAGTCCATCTTACATCAAATAGTTTTTGAAGAGAAAAATATTTTTTGGGGGGAGCCGCCAGACGTACTGCCTTACAAAGGTTATACATTCAAAGTGCACCCTTGCGGGTCTCTGCCCTTTCAAGTCTGTCATTAGTCCAGCTATTTTCCCGGATGTTGCCAGACACAAACCTGAGATATCAGGAGCAACTCAAACAGCTGAAGGGAAAGCATCTTCTGTTTTAATCTTAGCCAAACAGCATGACATTAGGCTGAAATTCGGCAACGCAATTTTTTGCAGTTTAAACTTATTAATGAGGATACACTTTGTTAGCATTGATGAATAAATTACCATACAAATTAGAATGATAATCTTTGACATTTGACATTTTATTTCTTATGGAGTAATATGGTATCTGGGAATAGTTAATGAATGTAGGCATATGACAAAACAACAACAAAACAATCATTTTGAAATCAAATATGATACATTGTATTTTGAAAATGAGTATTAGGCCTACCTTCGCTTATAATAAACTTGAATTCATCGTCTTTTGAGATTTTGTCTTCCTGGAATTCACTTACACCATCATTTGAAGTTTCTAAAATTCGTAATATATTATAAAAATACGTTGTTACTAAATTAGTATTCTTTAAAAAAAATTTTTTTATAATTTTAATACTACTTAACTTTTTAATATGAATTTATCACATTTCTGTCAATTCGTGCTGACCAATATCAGATTAAATCTTGCGACACATGTTTCCAGGTGTGAAAATAGTAAACTATATTCTTTTTAAATGTTAGCACTATTTCTCTAGATGCTCAAATAAACTTTCCATTCCTTATATGCCATTGAAACAAAACAAAATTGTGTTAAATAAACATAAGTTAAGTTTATCTACCTTTATTTTATGTCTTCTTTTTAAAATCATTTGCTTCAAAAGTAACTGAGGATGATGAGTACTCCTGGCCAATAATTACGTATGACGTAAACAGATTTTTCTGACCACTTATAT